CTGCAGGCCTGCTTCCCATAGATGTATAAGCATCTTTTGTACATGCTCACAATGCTTCTGTAAGCTTCTTGAGAAAAATATCAAGATGTCATCTAAATAGACTGAGCAGAAGTCATCCAGATATTCATGTAATGCTCAGTTGATATATTTTTGAAATGTACTCAGAGCATTGGCCAAACCAAAGAGTGTAACCAGCTACTCAAATAGCTTATATCTGGTTCTAAAGACTGTCATCCACTCATCATCTTCTGTGATTCAAATCTTGTGAAAAGCTGCAATAATGTTCAGCTTAGTGAATCATTTAGTCTGTTCAATTTGCTGTAGAGTCTCACTGATTAATGATAGAGAATATCAATTCTTTCAGGTAATTTTGTTAAAAGCTCAATAGTCCACACAGAATCTTAGCTCACCCCCAGACTTCTTCATGAATAGTATGAGAGTAGCTGCAGAGGAGTTGCTCATTCTAATAAAACTCTTATCTAGATAATCTGTAAGAGTCTTTCACAAAGCCAGTAGTTCCTCTCAAGATATATTATATAATAGGCCTCAAAGGGGTTATTCCACACTATCATCAGCCTTTTTAATCAGTTCAATCTCATGATCTCTATCTGAGCCATGAAGTGGAGGTAGAGTGTCAGCAGTTTTCTTATCAAATATATCCAAAAACTCATGATAATGTTCAGGCAGCTTTTCTCTAGGGTCAATCTTTGATTTCACTTCTAGAGTCTTTTGAATGTCAGTCAAACTGACAGTGAAGATCTCAATGTTTCACTTCTCTTGAGTGCTCACAAGTCTAGAGAAGCTTATAGCAGAGATGGGAATCACATCAGCTTTTGCATTTGAACTAGACTCTATCTCTATGCCACTCTCTTCAAATCTCACAATTCTTTGATAAGGGATTACGGTCACCTTTTGCTGGGCCAGCTAGGGGTCACTTAGATATATATCATGACCATGTAACTCATTCATCATGTAGAGAAAGGCTCATTCAGTTATGTGACTGCCTATATCAATTTGAATGCCAGTCACTATGCTCATGGAGAGTCCCATGGAGTCTTCAAAGCCAGTCATTTTAACAGGGAGAATTTCAATGCACAGGAGCTTATGCTTGTTAATGTAGGATTGAGAAATAAGATCATAGACATTACATTCACTGTCTATCATTGCTCTAGTCAAAAAGGCATTATCTACTAGAGCATCAACAGTAAAGAGTTTGAATATCATCTTAGATTTAAATCTTCTTCATTGCTTTCTCATAAGCTTCTTATTTTGCTTCTTTCAATGTCTTTTGGTTAGAGCTACTCTTTTCTCAAATTCTCACTCATATTCACATTGTCATCATCCAGTACCAGCTTGAGGATCACCTTAGCTATCATGAGAGTGGCAGAGCATCTGGGAGATTTGAATAAGCAGCTCTTAATCATATAATCTCCAGCTTCACATCTCAGGCACAGGCCTTGCTCTCTTCATTGATTAACCTCTGTCTGATTTATCAATTTGACATGGTAAGTGCTTGGGGTCACAGCACTAGGAGAGAAATTCATCAGATCATCAGTGAAAGCTTGAGACCAGTTTCATCAGTCAAGAACAGTATGACAAAGTAGAGAGTGTGAATTAGATGTCATATGATCTGAAGAAGATCTGTCCTCATGATGTTTAGATCACTGTCTTAAAGTCTTAAGCTCAGAGAGTTGATGATCAACTAATCTAAGCTCCTTGCAGTAATTCTTATAGAGAGATGATTCCCTTACACCCATCATGCCTTCCCTCAGCTCCATACTTAGAGTGGATTTCAAATACCTCTTTTTAACATGATCATCTCATCTGTGATCATCAGCTTCCAGCAGTAGCTGATTAAATTCAGGCAGAAAGTCAAAGAAAGCTCTTCTACTCTGTCATAGATTGTTGAGCTTTTGCATAGCCTTTTTCTGTCATGCAGAATCACTAAAGAGCATGTGTGTCTGCTTCAGTAAGCTCTCTATCATGAAGTTGATCTTGTTCTTATTATTCTCAATTCAGAGATAAACTTAAGCTGCTGCCATTTCTTCCAGTCTTGAGTACACATATCAAGCATATTCCTCATTATTACCTAAAGCTTTCCTATTGATCTTAAGTTTTGATTGAAGCTTTAGCTCTCACTGAGGGTAGTGCTTCAGATTAGAATCATCATACTTCTTGCAGTCTGATAGCTTGATCTTTGATCTTCTGACTGCAATGAATGATTGCAGATTCAATTGAGAGAGAGTTGATGTTGAGATGTTCAAAGTTTGTCATAGATTAGCTATTTCAGCTTGCTGAGCTGCTATTAAATCTCTGTTCTCACACTGGACCTGTTTCTGCTGTTGAAAAAAGGTCATCCATTGTTGTTCAAAGCTGCTAGAGGTGTCTCTGCTCATTGCTTCATGTTGATTCATTTGTTGTACAAGTCTGCCACTTTATCTCATTTGGCTAGATGTTTTCAATGTTGCTCATTCATTTGTTAGCATGATTGCTAACCCAGTCTATTCATATACCAGTGCTATCACTGAACTTCATGATGTAGAATTTAAGGCTCTCAATAGTCTATCATATGTCAGCATGTTTGCTGAGCTTCATGATACAGAATTAAGACTCTCAGTGGCCTATCAATGAAAGGAGTGAAGCAATTCATAATGTAAAGGGTTAAGCTCTAAGAATTAGAGGCTAGTCCTCCTATATAACAAGGACAAATTGCTTGAGAAAGGGAAGAAAAGAATGAGATGAGAACTCAAGCTTAAGCAAGCTCATGTAGCATGATCACGTGCGCACATGCAAACAATGGCTAGGCTGAGTCAGCCAGCCAGAGCAAATCTAGGAGTTCAACCCCTTATATTGACATCATAAGATTTAAAGATCTACTTTCATATAGATGAGAGATTTTGCAGAAACTGCTATTTTTCATACTCAATAAGATCATGACATGCAATGTAGTGAACTGCTTTTAAATAATAATACTTGTATTATTGAAATGATATACTATTTAGAAATTGTAGTAAATAAGTTATATGTGATAAAAATTCATATAAAATTATTTTATAAAAATTTATATACTGTATGAACTTCTCAATGATATGAGATTTATGATTATTTATTAAAAGTAATCAATAACTTTTCTTCTATCTGTTTTCTATAGCAGTATTGAAATGTTTAATTCATTCAAATTCAATTTCATCATTTGTAAATTCAGTATATAATATAGTAATTCTATAATTGCTGAGTAAATTTATCTGTGTATATTAATTCTTCAAGTGTATTTTAAAGATTAAGATTATTAATGATAAAATGATATAATTATTCATGAATATACATTCACTAACTGTAATCAAATCTCTTGAAAAGAATAAAGAAATAATGAAATTAACTTTTTTAAAAGTAGTTATAATTCATTCTTTACATTTTTATTCTTCTTGAAATTCAATCCCATTGAAGTTGTATGTATCACAAATGTGAAATTGATACTGCTCAAACAAAATCTAAAGATATTCAAATCATATATTGATATATTTAATATTTTTAACTGTTACTTTCTTTAAATTCAATGACTTCTATTTCATTCTCTTATACTCAGATAGGTATTCAATGAATCTATAAGTTCACATCTTGCTGACTTTTGAAGAAGAGATAGTAAAATTTATATACTGATGTCTGAGTATTAAATTCACAAAATCTTCAATATATTCAGCTATAAGAGGACAATTCTTTTCATCAAGCAACTTAACTCATCATTTAATCATGTTCTTTTAACTCTTATTTAATCTCTTGTTAACTGAAATCTTTGCAGTATTCAGATTTCTTTCATTGATATACACTCAGAGACATTGATAAGAAACCTCAAATTCTCATGACAGAGACAGTATTCTGAAATTTGAGGTTCTTTGACGATAAGTGACAGCTTTTTGAATATGATCTTTGATATTTTTATCCTTATTTGACATTGTGGTGAGTTATTAATTGATGAAGATGATGAAGATGATGAAATTGCAAGATTTTTATTGTTTTGGTGTTTTTATCATTTTAATGTGGTGCACCCACATTTGGTGTGGGTTGCGCAGCGGCACGATTATTCCGCCGGGAAAAGCGCTATTTATCATTTTGAGGTGAGGGGGTATTCCAGTATTTAGGAGTGTGAGAGATATATTTATGTTATTGCTGAAATACATTCGTTAAACTTAAAAATAAACGTAAGATTAAATAAAAACATTAATTCCAATTCTGAAATTAAAAATTAAAAATAGAGATATCTCGCCTTAAACTAAGAACTAAGATGTTTGATTTCTATTTTATATTTTTTCACATAATTTACTCATTTGCAATAATCGGCAAAAGCTACACTCTTTCTGTGGAGTGCGTAACTAGGGGCTGGGGATTCTTCTATTAAAAAGGAGCATTTCTGCTCGGTGTTGATGCAACCCTGAGGGGCCCTGTGGCCACTCCTGTGCACTGCCATTGCCCCTCTTCTAATGAGGGTTTGGGTTCTTTACGAAAATATATAGGGGAGAAACACAGTAGAGGAGGAAGGGAGGAAGGAAAAGGAAGAGAAGAAGTCGCTATCTGAGTGTACTTAGGAGTCTTTTTTGGCCGGCAGTTTCCACCAACACGCTCTGCTGATGCCAATATTAATTTGGAGGGAATTATTGACAGTGAATAATAAGAATCGCGGTGTCTTGAGTAATATATAATGGTATATGTTTGTCATTGATGGAACTCTATAGGATGCATTTATGCTATGGGTGAAAGATAAAAATATTGCATGTTGAGGAGGAATCTATGTGTTTTGTTTTATCCAATGAGGGTATATGTATATTTAGACGTGGGTAGTAGGGAGTTCGTGCAAATCTCAGTGTGCACGCGGATGTCGCGTAAGGTGTTTTATCAGCAACGTAGGTTGAAAGGTGGGTAGGATAGACTGGACTGCTCGCGATGCGTTTCTCTAGGGCTAGTATTTTTCACGAAAAGATGAAGAATGATATATATCCTCAAGCCTAGTCCCGTCCCAGCCGCTCCTCCTCATCATCCATAAGTTCATAAGCCGGTCTATATCTAGCCTTTCTATGTTGATCATCATTTGAATCCTGATCCCTGATCTGCAATTTCGGGTTCGGATGCGTATCATTCATCCCACCTAGGCTGGTATATCCCTCATCGTACAAAGGACAATACTCAATTCCCAGATGTCGAATAAACGCCCATATCTCCGCATAATGCCAGTCGATCACGGGATGTATTCGCACAAAATCCGGCCAGCCGTGATCTGTGCGGTCAAAATGGGTTAATTTCTCGCCGTGAGGATCTGTGCGGCGGGTACCAACAAATATAGCCCGGATTTGAGGGTGGAGGGATAGGTAGGAGGCAAATGCGCTGCGGATTGTGGCGTGTGGGGGGTCTGTGGTATAGCAGACTAAGGAGAGGTGGTAGGCGTGAGAGGAGGACGCGACGAAGTCCTCGACTGATCGGAAGGGGTGGTGTGGCTGCGCATAAATGGCTGGGATTGTGGATGGAGGGCTGGAAGTGGAGGATTTTTTTCTATTGTCATCGGTTGCTGTTCTGGTGGCCGCGGGGAAAGGGTGGAGGCTGGCCAGGAAAAGAATGAGCATCACTAGGCAATCCTTCCCGCCATTGTAGGAGAGGGAAAGATCTTGGAGGGAAAAGCGATGGAGGGCTTCTTGTATGACACGGAGGGAGGTGCAGGTTCTGTTCTGGACTCTATGGAGGATGCTTGTTGGGTCGTGGGATTCGGAGAGGAATGAGAATACTTGTTCATGGAGGCGGGCGACCACTGTGGAGAGGGGTGGGTGGGAGTGCTCTTCGTGGAGCTCTTTAAAGGCACGCATAGCTGGCTGCTCTGCCTGCGTAGGTAGGGACTGGGGTTTTGCAGCGGTGGTGTTGGTAGTTGACGGGGTGTCGTGGGTCGGTGGAGATTGCAGATATCCATTTTGTTGTGATATACAGCTTTCCTTGGCGGATTCAACACTGTTTGGAAGTCGTCTGTCTCCGGCCGGTATGGAGGACAGAGAATTGGTCATGGCAGTGAGCTGGGTTCCGCAGGGAGGGCTAATGGAAATGTATATATATTGAATGCTGGAGAGGTATCAATTAAAGCGTTTTACGGAACGAGGAGAGAATGTGCCGTGATGACTGCGTTGCAGTGGACAGGACAGGGTAAGATAGTGATTGGGGGATCTGGGAACAGAACCGTGGACGAGGTTTCGGGTCCTATTCTCCTAACTCGGCCCGGTCCAAAATATATTTTATCTTTTTGCCGTTTCCCCTCTACTTATTTTTATTTTTCTTTCTTTCTTTCTTTTTTTCTAGGGGCCCAGACTTCAAACGTCAGAACCTGAGAAAGTTGGCACTATAATTATCGGCCTGTGGGGCTTAGCGGTTTAGTCACCCCGCATTTCAGCCGAGGCGCAGGCGGGAAAAGCTAATTCATTCTAGAAATGGTATAATTCCTCTGTATGTGGATTATTAAAATAACTGGAATGTGCTTATCGCTATTGTCAAAGGGTATCGAAGGTTGTTGGATTCATTTAATATAGGTAAGCTAGGACCCGAAGGGGTCCGAAGGGGAAGATTGGAGTTACTGTTTGCAAGGCACCCGTCACAATGCCCAATACTTGACCAAGCAGATAAGTTTGTGAGGAGACCAGACATAGAAACAAGGGTTAAGAATACCAGGTTTAAACGCCTGCCATGTCATTCAAGATCAATACTCTAGAATTGCCCAGGTGTTGTCATCTACAGTCGGGAATATCAATCCGTTGCTCAAAAGTTCTTCACCTCCCTTAAACACTTCCCCGGCAGATAACCCCATTAGCGCCGCCAGATTCTGTACATGGAGGCCCTCATTGCTCTGTGGAGTTTCACTTAAAGTCTCGTACACCTTCCGCGCCAATGGTGACATTGGAGGCAATACCCTTCCGGCGAAAGTTGAACTCCCGCCTCCACCAACAGCAGGTGCTGCTCCAGCCACTGGTTTGTCCCCTTGCTGTTCTCCCGGTGGACCCCGCGTATAATAAAGATGTATAGCTGTAGCTTCGAGGAAATGACAATGATATTCATTCATATTCGTTATGGGCCGGATAACATGTGCGACGAAATTGCGCCGATTGTTGAAATTGTTAAGCTTGCCCCAAACTTTGGCATATCCATTGACCTGGATTTCCGATTCCGATGGGTGTGCAGCATCTCTCGCTTCCATCTCGTCTCCCGTGGGATTCACAGCGTTCTTTTCGAGCCATAATTTAACTTCGATTTCTCCGGTGCCGTCGTCTAGTTTGTATGTGACAAATGTTGTGAGGTGGCTGATGGCGCGGACCTGGCCGACGAAGACAATCTGAGACACCTCTGTGCCAGATATTTTGAAATCTGTGTCCCCGTGTGTTTGACTGGCATCCTGGGTCTGCTTTATCGTCACGGGCCGGAGTGAGCTTTTACCATAGCCTCCTCCCTATGAATGAGTCAAGGCACATGTCAGACATATATCTCAAAATCCAACTGCACAATGAAGGCTAGATTTATGGTATAAGGCTATTTCATACTTTGGAGTCTGATTGACTGCCTCCTTCACCTCCTGTGAAACCCCCTCCGCCCATCCCACCTTGGGCGCCATACGAGGTGGTAGATGTGTACTGGTTGCCGTAATCGTAGTCTGCGCCGGGAGCATTAGCATAAGGTAAAAGGACACAAACAACTGACACGAGCCTACCAACCCATGGATACTACATAAGATATTTAGGGAAAGAGGTGGATATATATCAGAATTGTGTTTGTCGTATGGTTGCTGCCTTTATCTTCTTCTCACAGTCTAATTAAAAGTCCCGTGAAGTCGTGTCAGTTGACGCGTTTTTTGGCGTCTGGAAAAATGGCACGGGCAGCCCGGAGACCGGGAGTACCTTGTTCCACTCACCGCCTTCCCATTTTGGTTTCTCCGGAAGAATTGCACCTCCAAAACCTGAAAAAATGAAAATGAAAATGAAACGAAATTATTAGACGAAATCGACAGTGATGACAATTTGATCCAGGAGATATGAACAACAGCAAAAAGGTAACTTCAATTGTTGTTTAAAATTGACGGTATGTATATTGGTGATCTATACCAATTTCAGGCTATACAGAGAAACTAACTTTGCCCGCTTGAGTGTTAGGGATATCTCCTCATTCTCAGCGTCCCGAAACGTGTTTGGCATGGTCTACCTAGGCTAGAGGCTTAGGTTCACTATCCCAACACGCTGAAATACTGAGATAGCGTGTTCATTAGGTGGTTCGAATTTGGACTGGCCCGGTAAATCGCCATGTCCCATCGGGATGTCTCTCCAGCAGCTTCCGAGAATGAGCTCGACATCTCAGATTTACTTTTTAACGGGGACGAGGACGCCTCCGACTTGGAAACGTCCCCCAAAATGTCAAAGCCGCAGCAAAACTTGGATCTTGATATGATGGGCGACACTGATGGTGACGCAGCTTTTATCGCGGCCCGACAAGCAGCGGCAAATCGAAAGGCGGCAAATCTGAAAGGCCGAACTGTGAAAAAGGGTGGAGGTTTCCAGTCCATGGGGCTCAATGCGACTCTTCTCAAAGCCATTGCACGGAAGGGCTTCTCTGTTCCGACCCCCATTCAACGCAAAACTATTCCACTTCTCTTAGATGACCAGGATGTTGTGGGAATGGCGAGGACTGGATCGGGCAAAACTGCAGCATTTGTGATTCCCATGATTGAGAAGCTAAAATCCCACAGTGCAAAATTTGGGGCTAGGGCGTTGATTATGTCACCCTCTAGAGAATTGGCACTGCAGACACTCAAGGTCGTGAAGGAATTGGGTCGTGGAACGGACTTGAAGTGCGTTCTCTTGGTTGGAGGTGATAGCCTCGAAGAGCAGTTTGAATATATGTCAGGGAACCCTGATATAATCATTGCCACCCCTGGGCGATTTCTTCATTTGAAAGTAGAAATGTCGCTGGACTTGTCTAGTATTCGCTATGTCGTTTTCGATGAAGCGGACAGGCTTTTTGAGATGGGCTTTTCAGCACAGTTAACAGAAATTCTTCACGGCCTACCTTCTTCACGGCAAACCCTACTCTTTTCTGCAACCCTGCCGAAATCTTTGGTGGAATTTGCTCGAGCAGGCCTGCAAGAGCCAACCCTGATCCGCCTGGATGCAGAGAGCAAAATTTCCCCGGACCTTCAAAATGGATTCTTTACAATTAAGTCGTCTGAGAAGGAGGGCGCTCTACTACATCTTCTTCACGATATTATCAAAATTCCTACGGGGGAAACTGAAGCTGGTAAACGGACAAAAGAAGAGTTACATAACCCGAAGAAACGAAAACGATCCGATCCCGTGGTAAAGTCGCATAAAGAATCGCCCACTGAACATTCTACAATTATATTCACAGCCACAAAACATCATGTGGATTATCTAACGTCAGTACTTCGCCAGTCTGGCTTTGCGGTTTCATATGCATATGGCTCATTAGACCAAACAGCTCGCAAAATCGAGGTCCAAAATTTCCGTTCCGGAATTACCCATATCCTTGTTGTGACTGATGTTGCAGCCCGCGGTATTGATATCCCTATTCTTTCTAATGTAATTAACTACGATTTCCCTTCACAATCTAAAATCTTTGTCCACCGTGTGGGACGGACCGCCCGAGCGGGCAGGACTGGTTGGAGTTACAGTCTTATCCGAGAGTCCGATGCTCCGTATTTACTCGACCTCCAACTCTTCCTTGGTCGACCACTCATTCTAGGAAGAGCCTCGGGCCAACAAGTCAACTATGCCGAGGATGTTGTTGTTGGTAGTTTACAGAGAGACCAGGTTTCCCGCTATTGTGAATGGGTGTCCAAACTTCTAGACGAGGACGTTGATGTTGCGTTACAGCGCGAAGTCGCCATGAAGGGTGAGAAGTTATACATGAGAACACGAAATTCAGCCTCCAGCGAAAGCGCTAAGCGGGCAAAGGAGCTGGTTGGCTCGGACGAGTGGATGATGGTGCATCCCTTGTTCAACGACGAATCTAGCCGACTAGAAGAGGAAAGGGAGAAGATGCTTGCTCGATTGGGAGGCTATAAACCGCAAGAAACAATTTTTGAAATTGGTGGCAGGCGAGGGGGTAAAAAGGGAAACGACGAGGCAATTGAGATGATGAGAAAGATGAGGTCGACATTCGAATCTAAGAGGGCACGAAAGGAGACCGGACAAAAAATTTCAAATTTAACCGATGAATCAGGGGTAGCCGATTCTCAACACAATGATGATAATGGTGATAATGAGGGAGATGAGTTGGCTGATTTTGATGGCGATGATGATAACGTGGGTAACGCCGACGACATGTCGCTGGCATCTGATTCAGAACTGGAAGTCACCTTCTCCTATCCCCAGTCTAGCATATCGAAGTCAAAAAAGGCTGCCAATAATCCAACGCTTGGAGACTCCTTTCAGAACCCAGAGTACTTCATGTCATACACTCCTGCATCCAACTCTCTGGTTGAAGATCGTGCATACGGCGTTCATTCCGGCTCGAACACCAATTTCGTTGAAGCATCACGCGGCGCCACCATGGATCTTGCGGGTGACGAAAGCGCTTCACGCGGTTTTGGAGAACCGCGATCAATCATGCGCTGGGATAAGCGCCAAAAAAAATATGTATGTCGCCGGAACGACGAGGATGGATCCAAAAGAGGTAAAGGAGACCTCCTTGTCCGTGGTGAGAGTGGAACCAAAATTGCGGCAAGTTTCCGTAGTGGAAGATTTGATGCGTGGAAGAAAGGGAAACGGATTGGTCGCATGCCAAGGGTCGGGGAGGCAGAAGACCCTGGTTTGGGTTCTGGAGCACCTGGAGAGAAAAAATATAGACATCGGAAGGATCAGGCTCCCAAGTCTCCCGACAAGTTTAGGGATGATTACGAAAAGAAAAAGAAGAAGGTTGAGGCCGCTAAACAGCGTGAGATGGAGAAGGCTTTTGATCCTTCGTCTAACGCTAAAGGGAGAGGTAAAGTTCACGGCAAGAATGAGCTTAAGAA